AAATCTATATCAATCATAGAATCTATATCAATCATAGAATCATAGCACAGAAGGAAGCCATTCGGCCCATCGTGTCTGTACCAGCTCTCTTAAAAGAGCTGTCCAAATTAATCCCACTCCCCGTGCTCTCCCCATAGCTCTGCAAACTTGTCCTCCCCAAATAATTATCTACTTCTCTCTTAAAAGTTGTTATCAAATCGGCTTTCAGGCAATGCATTCCAGATCCCAACAACTTGCTGTGTGAAAAAAATTTCTCCTCACCTCCCCTTTGTTTCTTTTAACAACTGTTTTAAATCAGTGTCCTCGGGTTACTTATTGACCCACCGCCAGTGGGAATAGTTTCTCATTGTTCATCCGATCGAATGTCCTCGTAATTTTGAAAACTTCTATTAAGTCTCCTCTTAACCTTCTCTGCTCCAAGGAGAATAACCCTCGCTTCTCTCGCCTCTCCTGATAACTGAAGACCCTCTTTCCTGGTACCATCCTGGGAAATCTCCTTTGCTCCCTCTCCAATGCCTTGACATCGTTCCTAATGTGTGGGGCCCAGAACTGAACACAGTCTCTCGCTGAGGCCTAACCAGTGTTTATATAAAGGTTCATCAGAACTTCCTGACTTGGGAATTCTATTAGCCTATTTATAAAGTCGTGTATCCCGTATGTTTTTTTAACAGCTGTATCTACCTGTCCAGCCACCATCAAAGATTTACTTATATGAACCCTCAGGTCTCTCTGTTCCTTCACCCCCATTAAGATTGTACCATCAGCTTACATTGCCTCTCCTCATTCTTCCTCCCGAAATGCATCACTTCGCATTTCTCCACATTAAACTTTATCTGCCATGTGTCTGCCCATTTCACCAGTTTGTCTGTGTCCATTTGCAGTCTGCTAATATCCACCTTCATCGTTCCCTACTTTTCTTAGCTTAGTATCATCTGCAAACTTAGAATTGTACTCCTTATACCCAAGTCCAGGTCATAATATATAATATATATTAAAAAGAGCAGTGTTCCTAATATCAACCCCTGGGGGACGCCACTACGCACTTCTCTCCAGTCAGAAAAACAATCATTGTTCTTTACCTGGGAAGGTATATGGTTACTGTGGTCACTATCAAATCAAAACTCTCAAGGCCCTCCTATTCAACCGCGTGTTCGACCACCCTCCTACCCTCCCTGCCCTCCAGCATCCCTAATCCCAACCCCGTTCAGGTCCAAATTCCTTGGGATGTCCTCCCAATGTAAAAGCTGCTGTGTAAATATAATTTGGTATATTGTAAAACAATATCCCACTGGCTGTGGACAGGACATACACAAACCTTCACTATGTATGGCTTGCTCAGCTGTGGGACTATTAACTGGCACTATTAAGTTTACATTGCCCAGAATTCAGGGTTGCTTTTTCTCTGAAGATAATGGTTTAATACTGCTGATGCACGGTTGCACTCCCAGCAGAAGGCTTTCTCCTCAGATAAATTAAACACAGCAAGCAGAAAAAGTGAATGTAAAAAGAAAGTTTTATTTCTTCAAATATATTTTTCTAACTTCATTTCTACCTCTCCCAATGTTTAAACCACACTTAACCTATCAGGGAGAGCAGTGTCAATTTAATTTAAGCAAAACATGAAACCTTCACACCTTGTCTATTTCACCTGAGAACAACCTCCAGCTGTTATAATTACAGGTTTTGTCTTCTCAAACTTGTGTGTGGAGACAGCATTTTGATGTGCATAATACCATAGTGAAGTAAATGCAAGTAATTTCCAAACACCTTTCCCATTGCGCATTTACACCACATCCTGAAAATAGTAGTGAGTGAAATGTCAGTTCAGTTGCTACAACTAAAGATAGTTTTGGTTGTAATAGATTATATAATTCAGTGACAACACTGGCAGGACCCACCAGGTGATCTACTTTCAACACTGGAAGCTTTGCAATTAGTTAGGATAAGACAGAATTTAAGCAGGGCAAGCCAGACAAAAGACCATTTCTTACCCAACTTGCTTTCTTCTCCAGGATTGAATCCAATGATATATATATATATATATATGTGTGTAAAATTGGTAACAGATCAGAAGCATACTCAAACTCCAACCCTCTGCACAGTCCAGAAGTAGGTTTTCTATTTGAATTACAAATAGAATGGACTACCTAGGAAGGTGGTGGAAGCTGATTGAAACAACAATTCAAGTACGAGTGAGATAGCAATTTGGTAAATAAATTAATTGTTCATTTAGCTTTTTTTTCAATTAGCTTTTTTTAAAATTAAGCTTTGGAACCCACCAAATGGACTGCAATTGTGTTTCCCATTCTATGCATTCCTGTGTACAAGTGCTTTTTCCTCCAGTGTGTCTGACAAAAGTATGAAAAGAAATTTATATCAAAATGCAATGTGTTAAACCAGAGATGGGAATGCAATGGCAGGAGTAATGTCCGTAGCTATATGCAAGTAATTTCCAAACACCTTTCCCATTGCTGCATTTACACCACATCCTGAAAATAGTAGTGAGTGAAACTGAACTCTACCAATCTAGTTAATCCAAAATCTTACTGTCAAACTAATCTTGAAGTTAAAATATTATCAGGTCACTGAACACTATTCCTATTTTAAACTTGACAAGGTCAGTCAGCAGCCATGCTAACAAAGGTTCCCAGTTATCTTAATTCTCAAGTATATAAAAATGAATGTGTACAAATGATTTATGCATTATTAGTACTCTGTCCATGGTGTATCCATTAACGTTTCTAGATAGAATTAAAACTGTAAATGTGTGAGTTCCCAATTTCTGTCTGATACAGTTTCACAACACTGTAGATAATATGAATTTCAACTATATTTCTAGCTCTTGTAACACAATAATTTATTCTATCCCGTTATCCAGCTTGTCTAACAGAAAGAATGGCTCCTGGTGGGAACTTACCTGTTGCTGCCAGTTGACTGTTCCAGTGTGAAGGACGAGCAGCTTCAAATGAATAGCAATAATGTTTATAATGTAAATCACCAAATTAGATTTCTGGCAAACCCAGTAAAACAACTAGTGAGGGCATACCGGCTCTCCTGCAGTCTTGCGAAGAGCAACTTGAACCGCCGATAATGAATAAGAACAGTCTAGTTGATTCTTTAAATGAGGAATAATCTCCATTTGGGCTATACTTTAAATTAGTAATATAACATTGAAATGCTGCTGGTCATTACCAACCTAGGGTGGCAAGCAGCTATACGCTCTTTCATAACCTACATAGGGTAAAGTTTGTATCTCAACAGTATTCTCATTACTTCACCCCTTTGTGTTGTGCTATGACAGTCACTGCATTCAGATCAACATAAAGTTTAAATGTCACAACTATTTACAAAATAATAATAATCGTTGCATTTGATATAGCGCTTTTCACGTCTTCTAGACGTCTCAAAGCGCTTCACAGAATAAATATTAAGTTCTAATAGCTTAATATTTCAAAGGCTCTTTCAGAAATCCACTTTTTAACATTCATTGGCATCTAGCCTGGCTTCACAATCCTGACAAATAAGAATTCAACAGAAGTTACAATTATTATAGAAATAGCAAAAGCTTGTGACAAATTAAACTGTTGACAAGATTCAGGGTACTTTGGGTTGCCTTTAACACTTTTTGATATTCAATTTTAAGTTAAGATGCACTGCAGTATTGGGTATGACAGTCGTGTTCAGCAGCCATTAAGTTAAAGAATGAGGTTAATTGGCGATTCATCACACTGCAAATTGCTAACCTCAAATTGTTGAGCAAAGGTCAAACAACTGCCCATCATCAGGTTGGGATATTATTGTCTGAGTCACATGCTTCCTACCAAGTATTCAGAGAGGAAATAAAACTGAAATTCTTTAAAATAGCACGATAATATCCTACATTGTTGTTCCACAAAAACAAACCGTAGCACCTCACATTCTGTCAAACTGGTAACTTATGTAAAACTTTCACATTGCTAATCAGTTAAAATCCATATTAGTAAACCTTCAGTTAAAATTCATACTTAGGTTTTGTATGCCAATACTCAATACTCCATACTAATCTGTTGATTTACAGCTTCCGATTACCCATTATGGATAGTCATAAGACACTGCATTAAATAGATTTGCTTCTGTCACTCTATTAATATTATCCAAAGAACTTACTTTGAACTTGGATCAAAGTGAGGAACTCAATTTGGTCATCGTTAGTATGACATGAACCAGTTGTAAAATCATTTCAGACGATCAAATGCATTGATACCACTAAACATAGAATCTAAAGCACATCATATCCAATCATAAATTAACTTAAGTTATTAAGATATATGAATTTGAGAAATATTAGAATTGTGATTAACAAATAGATTACCAACCTTTTTCCTGGTCCTGGCTGAAGGGTATTAGTCAAGACGCCAAACCTTAACAGATGGTAATGCAGTGAGGCAGTATGCTGGTACACCAACATAGTGCACCACAGAATAACAGGAGGGAAGCTTGCAGGCATGACGCCACACATGCCAAGCTTCTTACCTTAGAAGAGATGCCAACCAGAGACATGTTGTTTCCTTTTAAACTAGGGACCAAAAATTGGAGGATGCGTCAACCTCTACAGTCTATTACGCTTGCGGCAGTTGACTCATGGATGGTTTTGCCAGAAGCCTGGAAGCATGTTGCCTAATTGTGCTCTTGGTTGAGGAAAATTATACGACACAAAATTTGTGAAGTCATGATGTTTGGAGAAACAAATACAAAACCAACCTGACATTTGTTTGTAACGCAAGGTCCAGCTATATCTTTATCAGTTTTAAATTATTTTGAAATAAGTGTTTTATGGCTCAATAATTACTCGCTCTTCACCTGTTCAGATCTCTCCAGAACACTTTGCTCTGAGCTCACAGACCCTCGGTTACCATTAACCACTTCATTCACAAGGTAAATCAATGCTTAGCTAGATAAGAGTTCATTTCAAAAGAGAAAGAAAGGGAAAAAAGTTTTGAAAATTACTATGTGATACATACACGATTTGTAAAACACTGATGTGGATATCACAGTCTTTTCTGGCTTTACAGCGTTGTAATTATGATCAATGGTCCAAGTCCCTAGAGCAGGACCTGCTGCACTTTCCTTTGGTATTGCTACAGGCCTGTTATGGACCAATACCACCAATTTCTTGGATGACGTTTCATTTGTGTCTGTTCCTTCAATAGCTTTTCGAGGGCCTGATGGCAGTTGTTTTGAATTAATCTGTAACAATACAATATTTTATTTACATGATAATATGTGATTTCAATCACATACACATACTACCTGAAGCATTGCTGTTAAACTTATTTTTCTACATTCCTTCATTTAAGACTAAACTGGCTTATCTTGTCGAAAATGAACAAGAATATCTGCTTTGCAAAGTAGGGTCAAGGCATCTTCATTCAGATGTTCTGTGTGAGCTCAAGTCTGGGCTATCCCCGGGGTCTCCTCAGAGCTGAACTGGCTCCAAGGTGACATACCTGGCAATGGAATGTCGGAATCGAGCCAGCCCTCTGTGACGGTCTCGGCAGTCCGGTTCCTGAGACAGGTGGGTCTGCAGTATTCCAGGGCACTGCTGATGACGGTACAGCCAGCCTGGCTCATTGGCAGGACCTGGAAGGGTAGACCAGTCACGGGGGGGCAGGGAATCCACCCACTCAGCTCCTGTTAACCCTGCAAGCCAAAGCCCAAACAGGTAGGGTGGTCCTAGTTGGACAAGCAGTGGGAAAGCTTGCTGGACAGCAATATCAATGGCAAGCTATGTGGATTTAGCTGGTTAAGACTCCAGTTAAGTTACCCCAACACACACTCTGGGGGTCTCAGGCCTTGGCTCTTGCCAACCTGCGCCTAATACTCTCTGGAATTAGATAAGCAAGATACGCATTTCATTCCAACAATCTATTTCTGGGATTTCCATGTGTAGGTGGGCTGCATGGAAATCTCAGCTTGGTTTGGATACTCTTGAGAACAGTGATGGGTTTCTGCATGCGTCAGACACCTGGCTGACAAAAAAAATCCCCAATTTCATCATACAACTGCTTTCTTCTGACTCCCACCATGAATCAGTATTACAGTTCAACCATCAAGAGTTCTCTGTTCTGCAGCAACAGAATCTCAGTGCAACAAGTCCTTATCACAGCTCCAGCTATTCTACAAAAGCCTAATTTACTCATTGATGTACTTCAAATTCAGTCTCAACCACAAACCCTATATCTGCAAATTATTCAACAAGATTTGTTAAGTTTAATTTTAATCTACATACAGTGAACTCCTCATAACTCGACCCTGGTTTAATCTGTCACTTAAATCATCATGTTATCAATATCTCAACCACATTTATTTATACATTTATACATAAGCCTAACTTGCCACTCCAGATAACTAACCACTGAGCCCTTTTCCCTTGAAATTATCAAGAGTTACTTAATTGGCATTTAATCAAATAAGAGGGTTGGCCTCAAAGTGACCTTTGATCCAATTTCAGTGAATTCTACTTCCATAAGACCATAAGACGTAGGAGCAGGACATTCGGCCCCTCAAGCCTGCCCCGTCATTTAATAAGATCATGGCTGAACTTCTAACCTAATTCCATTTACACGTCCTATCCCCTTATCCCTTAATCCCTCTATTAAAGGATGTTACTTCAGATACGGTTAAAAAACTTAATTCCCCAGGAGTGATCTCAATTACTTTGAAAAGTATAACAATTTGGCAACAACAACTGCATTTATATAGCGCCTCTCACACAGAGTAGAGTTGCACATCCTTGACAGTTGTTGAGCACAACTGAGCTAGAGGAAAGTGACCATATGCACGATCGAAGAGCAAGGTCTTCAGGCACAACTTAAAGATGGAGAAGGAAGGGGCAATGTGGAGGGATTGCAGGAGAATGTTCCAGAGTTTCGGGGCATATTGATAACAGCTCATCAAATGTGTCGAGCAAAGAAACACAAGAATAGTAATGTCCTCATTTAGGCTTTTTTTTTAAATTACAAGGGAATAGATTCCATGGGCTACATAAATCAATCCTTATGCATACCCAATACGAAAAATAGATTGCAAGAGACTCTACCTTCTAAGCAGCACTTTTTAAAGATACGGGTAATGTGATTTGCATAGAAATTTCAGTGGAGGAAGACTTTTAAAACAAAAACACAAATGAAACATTTGGCCCCGTTTCTTTGCTTTTTAAATTATAAACATCACATAAAAACAAACCAAGTGATGAATAGAAAGGCAAAGTCGATCCCCTGCATACACTGTGACAAAGTATGCCTATTTCCTACCTATCTGTGGAGACCTGTAGCTCAGTGGTTAGAGCACTCGCCTCACAAGCGAGAGACCTGGGTTTGATTCTCAGCAGGGAGAAACGTTGGGCGAGTTTCCTTACTCCACACACCTCTTTACCTAGCAGTAAGTGGATCCCAGTCATTAGTCGATCGGTAGATTGCTGTTCCAGGTGTAATAATCCCTTCAAAAAAATTTGGTCGCTCAATCCACGACTCGTTATGGGACGCTGCTACTGTGCACATTTGGCTGCCGGGTTTCACCCACAAAATATACGGTCAATTCACTTTACAGTATATTCTGTGAAGCGCTTTGAGACGTCTCAAAGATGTGATAAGGAGTTGCATCAAATGCAAGGATTATTATGATGTACCAGAGAATTCAAGAGGAAAATCATCCACATTTCTAGTGGTATACTGAAGTCCCACATTTATCAGCTGAAGTTCTGGTTGGCATTCCGCAGAGCATCTTTGACAACACGTGATATTGGGAACATACCATCAGCAGCCGGCATCACTATGGGAGCTGTGCTAACTGCCATCGACATTACAGCACAGTCAGTGGTGCTTTACAAAAGGTGACACTGCATACAAACTGTTTGTTTAAGTGCTTCTCCTCTTATCAAGAGTTTCTACATAGTCTACAGTAATAAGTCCCACACTCAAGGCAAAATCTCCATCCCTTTGTCACTACACCCTCACTTTGCCAATCTCTCTGTGTTTAACTGACAACCCCTCACAATTATTATAACTGCCTATTCTTGCTCACCTCCTTTATTTTCCTGCATACTTGTATATTTTACTAGTGATTGAGAACAAGCTGATGTCGGCTAGCACAGTTGCCAGGGAGAGTGGGTATCACCCTAGCTTTTGTTCTGAGTTCAAAACAGGAGGTGATCAGCTTTCTTAAGACATGCTGCTCAAGAAAATAATCACTCTGTAGATCTCCATTCTACCTGAGTCACAAGAACCATCCAATATTAAGTGTACAAAAGGCATGTTAGTTCAGAACTGAAAGCAATCTCACTAAAAGGATTTACTGATAGATATGAATGATAGACAAATAATAATAAATAATAGTAATAATCCTTGCATTTGATGTAGCGCTTTTTACGTCGGGAGGACGTCCTAAAGCGCTTCACAGAACACACTGTAAAGTGAATTGACTGTCTATTTGTGGGCGAATGCGGCAGCCAATTGCGCACAGCAATGTCCCACAAACAGTCGTAGATTGAAAATGACCAATTTATTATTGTTTTTGGTTTTGGAGGATTATTATTAGGCTCTGTGTGGAGTAAGGAAACTTGCCCAAGGTTTCGCCCTCTGCCTGGAATTGAACTCCGGTCTCTCACTTGCAAAGCGAGTGCTCTAACCACTGAGCTACAGGACTACACTACTTTAGGTATTTTAGATTCCAAGTGGGGAGAAGCAGATTTACCTCTGCATTTATCGTGCTCTTTACCTCTGCCAGAGATTTCGATGAAGTGGCCTTCTCTGGCTTTGGCTTGTTTTTCTCTTTAGTCTTTAGTTTTTGCTCCTTGGCTTGGCTAAGCGATTTCATTGTAGCTGCAGCATGTTTGAGGATGCAGTCATTACTGCAGTACACAGAGTCCGTAGAGGCCAGTTTGGTGCAGCCGGGCCCAATACACTTAGGCACACCAGGAATTTCCACCATCTAATAATAAAAACAATCCACCAATAATTATCGGTAGAGTACAGTTCACTCAAATGACATTACTCATATCCAGGACAAATGGTACTATTTTCACGTATGCAGTGTTGCAACAACAATTTACATTGTTATAGCACTCTTCAAATGAGAACATCTCAAAGTGCTGTACAAAAGGGCTAAGCAGGAGCCTGAGCTTGGGGAAGGGCAGGAGAAGTCGCTGACGGGTTGCCTGCTGATGGCAGGATGGAGCAAGTGAGTCTGAGGAACCTTAATGTTGACCCACTGCAGGATAGGAAGTCAGTGAAGTTGAGCAAAGGTGGGGGTTGATGGGATTGTTCTCCCAAGAGCAGAAGGTTAAGAGGAGATTAAATAGCGGTGTTTAAAGTTATGTGGGTTTTGATAGAGAGAAACTGTTTCCACTGGCAGGTGGGTCAGTAACCAGGGCACATAGATTTACGATAATTGACAAAAGAACTAGAGGGGAGATGAGAATTTTTTTTATATAAACAGAATTGTTCAGGTCTGGAATACACTGTGTGAAAGGGTCGATGGAAACAGATTTAACAACACCTTTCAAAAGGGAATTAGATCGGTACTTGAAAAGGAAAGAAAAATGTGCAGGAGTATGGGGAAAGAGCGGGGGAGTGGGATTGATCGGGTAGTTCTTCCAAAAAGCCAGCACAGGCACGATGGGCCGACTGGCCTCCTTCTACACCCTAATATTCTATGATTCACAAAGCGTGGTGCAGGAGACTATACAAGTTGCTGATATTCTGGATGGTCTTCAGTTTGTGGAGGTGCTAGAAAAATTAAGTGTGGTGGATTAGGATATTGGCTATCATGAGGAGGTGGTGGTGGTGATGGTGGGGAGATGGAGAGCAATCAGAGCCCGCATGGAAGATTTGAAGGTCGAACAAAATGCAGAGGAACCCATGCTGTTGCACAACGTTTTTAAACAAACAATGCTGTATTAAAGAGGGACACCCGGGGGAAAAGCTTAAGACTTGTTAAGTTAATTTAAAATGCAAATGTGATTCACTGCTACTTTATATTCACGGTGAAGTTGGAACAACCTACTATTGCAATTAGTGAAATTACTGGGAAACAAATGAAGAATGACAATGAGACTTAAAGTTCCAGTTAACGTTAGAACAAGAAAAGTGGCAAATTCAAGCAATATCTTCATCTGTACATAACTTACTAAATTAATTACACCCAATATTTTACCAAATACAATTTTAAGCCTTTTGATGCCACATTCAAATAAACATTTAGATAGGAAAGAAATGGAACTATTTGTTTCTGCTTTAAGCAGACCATCAGATTGGAGCGATTCAAGTAATACTGGAATGTAATTAGAAATAGGAATAAAGTATCGTATTATTGGTTCAGTGCCTTGGGACAGCCCTCGACATGAAAGGCGCAATATAAATGCATTTTGCTGTTGTAATAGTATCGTTGTGTCCTTCTCAAGTTGCTACATGACAATTATTCCAATGGAAGCCAATGTTCTAAAAATGGCACTGAACGCAAAGCAGCCCAACACAAAGCGTTTATCCAATTGCAGTAACCTAATGGATATCAATTTATTTATGAACGCAAGATGCATTGGCTTTGGCGCGAGATACAGAATTGAATGAATGCAGATTTCACCAATGTTATTTAAATTATTCTCATCAAATGTCCATTCATTTTATTTCTAACTACATTAATAATTCAGAATTTTCTAATATACTGCACTAATCTCTACATAAACATGTAGCACAATGTTGGTATGTTATATTCTAAATCCATTCCTGCCAAACATTCAAGTGAAATGTCAAACAAACTGCTGTTGAACAGCATACCGGTTTAAATATTTTAATCTTCTTCTTGCCGCTCGGGTTGGCAGCCTTTTCAATCCTGCCTTTTATTCCCTGGTCAGTGGGAGAGCTTCCATCTGGTTTCTCTAATGCTGCATTTTGGTCACCAGTGCTTGCAAGTGCTGATTTGCTTTCCTGTTGACCAGACGTCATCTCAGTGCTGCTCGAGCCTTTGTCTGGAGATGGACTACAATCTGGGCAGATGTAATCCTCCCCATTGCGCTCCAGTAAACGTCCCCTGGCCATCGTAATTCCCACGCAGTCTCCATGAAACCATTCCTCACAGCGATCACAGCAGATCATAAACCTACCAAGGAACTTACAGTCAGCAAAATGCAGATATAGCATTCAATCAAAATAAAGTCACAGCAATGTGACACCCCATCATGGAAATATTTCTTTATATATAAAAACCCTTGTATTTGACATTGCGCCTGATAGTGACCGTGTATTGGAAGACATGTGCAGCAGCCAAGCTGTTCACAGAAATATCCCACAAACAGCCATGAGTGAATAACCACATTTTTTTATTTGGGGGATTGTGGCCAGGACACCGGGAGAAACTCTCTTCTCTTTTCAAATTGTGACTTTATATCTTTAACTTCCACCTGAAAAAGCAGATGGGACCTTGGGCTAAATGTCTCATCCAAAGGACAGCAACTCTTGACAATGCATTGGAGTGTCAGTCTGAACTGTGAGCTCAGCATAGACTTCTACAAACCTTTTAGAATATAGTGTGCAGGGATTTCTCATTTAACCAATAATCTTAGTGCATCTTAAAATGTTGTTCTGTCTACCCTTTCCTTCAATTCATTTCCACTTATCAATTAATATTCAACTAGGTTAAATATTAAGTAGGTTAACTAGGTTCTTCTATAAAGTTATAATTTGCGATTGAAATATATTTGTGCACAGAATCCATGCAAAAATTATTGTACTGCAATTCATTTTAAAATAACACTTTTCCAGTTCCTATATAGTTACCAGCTGTTCAGTAAATTGTATAGTCATGCAGAGGTCTGTAATCTATTGATTAGCGCACTTGCCTCGCAAGCAAGAGGACCTGAGCTTGATTCCCGGGCAGGTTGAAACTTTAGGCAAGTTTTCTTACTCCACAAGCCCCTATTTATCTAGCAGCAAGTAGGAACCCAGTTGGTAATCTATTAGTGGATCACTTTTCCGGGGGTAATAATCCTTTCAAAAAATAAATTTAAAAAATAATTTGGTCACTCAATCCACGAATGTTTTTGGGACACTGCTATACGCAATTGGCCGACGAGTTTTGCCCCAAAATACAGTCAATTCACTTTACAGTATATTCTGTGAAGCACTTTGAGATGTCTCAAAGATGTGATAAGGTGCTACATCAAATGCAAGTATTATTATTATTATTATATGTTTATACCATGACTTCAACTAGTACCAACCAATTGTACATTTTGTTCAATATGCCCTGAACTAGTAATTTAAACCATAGACTAGGATTGCATGCCATTGATGTATAAAATGAAATCCTTGAAAGTCAATCATTTAATCTGCAGTTTTTCTATCTTCGTTGGCCTCACTCAGTGGTTACAACTATCAATATAGATGAGACAGGTTGGAGCTTTTCTCTCTAGTGTTTACTTTTTTTAAAATTTGATAACGTTGATATTAATAGGCTGTTTCCACTTGTTGTCAAGCACAAAACAATGTGGCAAACAGATAAGGTATCTAGCAGATCTAGAAGGGAGTTCAACTTCTTTATAACTCAATTATGCAGAGAGGGTGGTGAGAATGTGAAACTGCTGTTTAAACAAAACAGAGAGGGGGATTAGGAGTGGTGAAGCTTGTATAGAGGTCAATCAGTGACATAGATAAATTGGGGTGAAAAGCCTATTTTGTGCTGTAATGTTCAATGTAATTCTGGCTCCACTGATGCTGGAAACATTTTTTTGAAAAAAACTTGCAAGCTCGGGTATTAGAATCCATACCGTATAAGGCAGAATTCAATTATGTATAATACAAGTAGTTTAACACTAATGTAAAAGGTCTTATTGCTTAAGTAGTTGCTTTTAATAAATGCAGGAATCTTTGATAGTTCAAAGATTTTTTTAAATCGCAGTCCTTCAGATTGTCCAGCGCTCCATTGGTGAATTAGCGACAACTTTTTTTTCCAGGTTCCAACAGAGAGGAAGTATTCTGATCAACATTGGGACTTGATGTAGCTGAAATAGCTATGCCAAGGCTCCCAATTTAACATCCAGTAAAACAAACTTTCCATGCAAGGATCCTCTCAAAGCTACTACGGGTAATAATAATAATAATAATAATAATAATCCTTGCATTTGATATAGCGCTTTTCACGTCGGGAGGACGTCCCAAAGCGCTTCACAGAACACACAGTAAAGTGAATTGACTGTATATTTGTGGGCGAACGCGGCAGCCAATTGCGCACAGCAATGTCCCACAAACAGTCGTGGATTGAAAATGACCAATTTATTATTGTTTTTGGTTTTGGAGGGATTATTATTAGGCGTGTGGAGTAAGGAAACTTGCCCAAGGTTTCGCCCTGCCTGGAATTGAACTCAGGTCTCTAGCTTGCAAAGCGAGTGCTCAACCACTGAGCTACAGGACTCCAAGGGAGTCCTGTAGGGAGAAGCTCTCCGCCACAGGCCACTGAGATATTCTTTCATATCTCTCACCACAGTTCAGAAAATACAAGGTGGGGAAGAGGGAAGGAGAGGGGGGAATATTGGTCTCCAAGTTAGAAGTTACATAGATCCTCCATCGTATGACAAGGCCTCAATCAATCACACTGTAAGCACACTGCAAAATGTTTTTCAAAATTGTGAAGCCAAATTGTTGCAGGCGCTAATATTTCATCACAGGAAACTGCTGCAGTTAGCTGAAGGACATACGGATGAATGGTCTGGGCAATTCAAACCTGGAGATGATACAGAGAAGGAACTAATCTTTTTGTTGTTCCTCACTTCTTCTGAAAATATATAAACCATACAAACTATACACACTTGCTTTAAAATGGCAAGTAGTCACTATTAAGAACACAATTTGAACCCACTACATAGGCTTTTTATCAATGCAACTATCATGATTTCAGCCCACAATAACTGTTATCTTATTTAATCAATTTCTAATAAGCAACAACAACAACAAGATTCCAATTATAGAGCGCCTTTCACGTCGGGAGGACGTCCCAAAGCGCTGGACAGTTGGGTCAGGACCCGAGCCTTGGGGGGAAATGGTCAGGGTGAGGGGAGGGAAGGGAGGGAGCGAGGAGGGGGGAAATGGTCAGGGCTGTGAAAAAAAAAGCAGGGCTGTAAGTAACTAATAATAACTAATAATCTCTTAATAATGATGGGATAATTATTTTGAAGGTGTGAAATTGTTCTCTAACTGGGGAAGTTGGGATTTTCAGTTTGAAAATTCTTTGATGACTGTTTAATCTTTCCTTTTCAGGGTATAACGTAGCACACGTTTAGTACTACCAATGCAGAGCAAACTAGAAGCATTAATTCTGGAAACTTGTGTGAGATAATAAGATTTCTACATTTGAATACATGAACCTACACCACTTCAATGAAACTAATGAAGTTGGTTTCCGGCCCTCATTTACATAGGTAACATGCACAAGCATTTACATTTGTTATTGTCCTGCTGAAAGTGGTTTCACCTAACATATATGAATCATTGTTAGAGATAATCTATGTTGTCTTGCTTATTGATGTTTGCGTCTGGCCTCACAGCAAAAGAGGATGTAGATTCCAACAAGTGATTGAGGAAATTAAGCAATGCAGGCAAGCTTGAACCACACGGACAATGAACTGCTTGCACAAGTGAACCATTTTATACAAACACGTCAGTTGAATTAGTTTAGCATGTGAATTGGACTCAACCATAAGTGCCCCTCACCCTACTCCCAGGCTTGTGGAGATGATCCTGGGGCTCCAGGTGGTCTGCCTTTGTGGTAGCTTTGGGTCCTCACACTTACCTCATCCTCAGCTGCAGGCCTCAATCTCACAACATGCCTGACTGCTTGATGGTAATCAAGCCAGAATTCAACAACAACAAAATTACATTTGTATAGCGTCTTTCATGTCAGGAGGACATCCCAAAGGCTGGACAATCAGTGTTTCGGACCTAAGCTAGGGGTCAGGATCAGGGACGGTGGACGGCAGGGTAGGAAAGAGGGTGACCGAAGGAACGGTCGAAGGAGGGCCTTGAGACGGATCTTGAAGGAAGCAAGGGAGGGGGTGAGGAGGAAGGACTGTGGGATGACGTTCCAGAGGGTGGGAACAGAGTGGCAGAAGGTGGTGGGATGGGCAAGGCAGGGGACGTAAAGCAGGCCAGAGCCCGCTGAGCGAAGAGAGCAGGCAAGTTGGTAGGGGGTTAGAAGGTCGCAGAGGTAGGAGGGAGCAAGGCCATGGAGGGCTTTGTAGGTGATGCTCTTTCTTCTATCCTTTCCTCAAACCAAAGTCAAGAGAATACTTTTAGGAGGTAGCTGTTCTCAACACTCACAGAACAAATGAAAGGCGCTAAAAACAGGATAACGGTTGTATAAATTAGTCCTATAGATTTGCTTGACCACACTCCAATCATAGATTGACTGGTGTCAAGAACTCACTATGTTGGGAAACCAGAGGTACAGATCAGCGTGGAGTATTAGAACTTCAGTATGAGATTTCTATCAATTCCTATTCGAAAATGCATTTTCCATTTTCCAAGTGATATAGTAAGAGGACATTAGTTCATATACAAACAAAATAAACATTACAAATAAGTGCTTTCTGTATTTCTGGTGCACAGGCATGTATTTAGTTGATGAGGTATCAAGGTGGAGCATTTGGATTGTAGATTGCTAGACACTGACACATACCTGTTATTATGTGGTTGCCGACAAATACAATACAATTTGTCTGGGTCATTATAGTCATTGTCTGATTGGCTGACCGAACTTTCATCTTCTTCAGTCTCTGACTTAATTGATGTTCGTAATTTCAGTTCTTTTTTAACGAGCTGTTCTGAATCTTTTGGAACAGCACTAGATTTACTTCCTTTCTTTACAGAAGTACTCAATAGTTTCTTAGGTTTTACAATTCCTGCCAACTTTGTTCCTTTCTTTGACTGATTTTCCTCACTGGATATTTCCTGCACTAATTGTGTGGTCTGTGGCGAATCGCACCGCTCCTGAACACGACGTTTTCTAAGCTGATTCTGTAGCTCTTTGAGTGTAAGTTCGTCACTGTCGCTATTAGTGCTGCTGCCTTTATCAGAAATACTTTCCTCATTAATTTCTTCAACTAAACTATCAGATCCCAGATCTATGATCGAGTCTGGTCCTTTCTCCTCTACTGCATCTATACTGCCATCAGACCCTGCCTCGACTTCTGATGCAATGGACAAAAATTCTCCACCTTCATCAAAGCCTGAGGTTCGGCGATAGCGTTTTTGAGCAGCTGAAATGAATTCTTGTACTCGTGCTGTCCGCTGAGTCTGTCGTCTACTCCTGCGCAATGTGAGCTGTGCCTGTTGATCCGAATTCTCATTCAAAAGTGTGTCAGAGGCCTCAGCATCCAGAGCACTCTCACGCTTTGCAATAGTGGTTTGTCGGAATCCCCAGGTCTTTTTAAACTCTTTACTGCTCGGGTGGATGATTCGTGAAGGCTCAGCCTTGTTGTGGTCTTTATTGTTTGCCGCTGTAAAGAGAGAAGTCAGTCAGTTTAGGTAACGATGTATTAGTATAAAATGCGTGAGCACCGACCACATTCACTCGACATTGGGAAGGGGTGGCGTTGGGAAGGGGTGGTTGTTGTCTAACATCAGGCTAGTGTCGAATAGAGAATGGATAAATATTCTGCAGTTCCTTTGGCACTGGGGAAATTGCAGAACCTTTCCTTGTGGTTGAATGGGTAGTGGATTGTAAGTCTTCTGTGCAACAATTGGTGTGGTGTGGTTTTTGAAATTTTCTTATAATTTAAACTACAGCAAAATCTAAAGGAAAATTTCACCTTTCATGTCAGGAGGACGTCTCAAAGCATCCATAGGATTTACTGTGAAATCGAGTGACTGTATTTTATGCATGAATAATAACTCCCCAAAATGGCTACTAAGCACCACTGAACCATGCAATTTTAATTAAAAATTGACTTCCAGTGGTAGAAAATGCAATAGAATTCCAGAACTCAAAACATCTTTAAGCACTTTGTGCTCAATTTATAAAGAGATTGATAGCAGCAACGAGTATAGTACTGAGTATCCCACACTCAGGTATAATAGCATTATTAGGAATAATAAAGAGGGTGAAGGAAGGAGAGTAACAGAAACCCATTGAAAAAGGCAATGATCTCATTATAATGAAATAAAACAAGAATAATCATTGAACATTAAATGAGGATCTTAGCAATGGTATTTTCCAAGTCCCCGTAAACAACATGGAGAACAACACTTCATGTAATATTTGTCAACACTAAGCAGCGACCAAGCAAAGTGATACCGTGACCATCTGTGCAAAGCAATCACAGAGCGTTGAATAATGCAGAATACATAAGCAGTGGAATGAACATATTATGGAGGTTTGATCAATTAGATGGGAGGGTGGAAGGGAGAAGAAAAACAAAAACATACACAATTAACTGAAATAAAATGCTACCCAGATACTTTGAGCGGGTTTGAACCTAGGACTGACTACCATTTTGCACCTACCCCAATATAAATACTAACCCACTGAGTGGAGACGGGGAGATTTCCTGTTGGAATTAGCCACATTGGACTCTGAGTTATTGCTATTCTGTGAAGACTCTTGAAGACCTGACAGTTCTGCATTCTCGTTTTCTGCTGTTGCAGAGATGTTTGCTCCCACATCATCTAACTTTAGATCTGAAAATAGTAGCACTTCATCAATTAATTTGAACAGAAGATATTGATTGCATATTTGTACAAATTACTTGTTAAGATATTACCTGTGTTCTTCAAGTAATACATGCTGATAGATTTTAACCAAATTCTCAAATACCAAATAAAATTTAATTTAAAGAATAAGATAATATTTTCAATCCTGAAGAGAGTGGGTGAGGAAGAAATGCTTAGCTTTGATTAGTCCATTTGGGCAATTCTATATTTCCTGAAAGTTAGAATGAACAGTACAGTACCTGGGGTTTCACTAGCTTCTGTCTGCAGCTCCAATCGGAATGGTGTACTGGATGACGGGAGCAGTGGATCCTTATCACTCAGCATGTTTGATAACGTATCTGCAGATTGATACAAATCCGTATTACTGATCAAAAGGCTTTCATCAGGAGTCTGGTTTGAATGATCAGATGATGTGAAAGGACCTAGAGTTTCAGAGGCGTCCATCAATAGATCCTCATGATGTTTTGCTGCAACAAACAAGAAAATAATAATAATAATTCTTGCATTAGATATAGCGTTTTTCACGTCGGGAGGACGTCCCAAAGAGCTTCACAGAACACACTGTAAGGTGAATTGACTGTATATTTGTGGGCGAACGCGGCAGCCAATTGCGCACAGCAATGTCCCACAAACAGTCGTAGATTGAAAATGACCAATTTATTATTGTTTTTATTTTGGAGGATTATTATTAGGCTCTGTGTGGAGTAAGGAAACTTGCCCGAGGTTTCGCCCTCTGCCTGGAATTGAACTCAGGTCTCTCACTTGCAAAGCGAGTGCTCTAACCACTGAGCTGCAGGACTCCACATAATTTAGAACTGCAACGCTGCACAATATTATCTATAGGCATGAATAAATACAACACTGCAGCACAGTCGTGGCATGTTGTGATGCAGTAACTCTTGTTAGATGTTCTATGATTCTTTTACTAAAATGTGATAATAGGTCCTGCTTTTTTTTAATTAATTCTGAGCTCTGAAGTCAAATAACTTCAGTAACAATTGCTTAAAGGTATTGAAGCATACACGTATAATCAGTTTTGATAGAATGAGCAACCAACTGAATTGAAATTTTGCGACAATATTCCCAGAATCAGTCATGATCCATTAATAAGCATCACACAGATGTGAGCAGAGAGCAACAAGGAACTGGAATTGGATCACTTGAACATAACATGTTAAGACAGAGAAATGGAAATGGGTCAATGTGGAAATTAGGAAGCCTTTTAAGGAATTCTATGCTCCAGGTTTAAAAAAGTCAATAATTGTAATGTCTTCATATTCATTGCTTTATGCTAGGAAAGGTTTACTGTGGTGAATAAATATCTTCAAGCTCACAGGACATAAAGCTGCTAAATACCATCTGAGCTTTATTTAAAAAGGTGTGATTTTTACATTAACAATGAAAGGAATCCATTTATCAGTTAACATGTTAGATTAATGTACCTTGGTTGTAAATCTGACTCACAAGATTCAATAATAAAAGGTAGATACAATAACCTAATTATTTATGAAAGTATCATCCCAATGCAAGTAATTTAGCCGGGTAAAACTGAGGATATGACACTGCATGACACTATTCCATGGTCTCCATTTAGTCCAGTAAAGTCCCCACTGCTACACTGAATGGAATCTAAAGCTTTAGATACTAATAACAATATATCATGATTAACTGTATATTAAAATGAGTTAGCTTGGAAATAAAATCCTTAATTAAGAGAGCTGGACTTGAAAATTACGACATCAGTAACCAACATAGCCAAAATACAGAAATGAAAGTACCAATAAATACAACATGGCAGCATACTGGAAGCAGGTGGGGAATATGAAACACAGACAATACAATCATTATATCAGCTAAAGAGTAAATCTACACAGCTTAATTTTTAGATCTTTCATGAGGAAGGAGCACTCTTCCTGCAATCCAAGGGAGAATTGCAAACTGTTCTACTCAACTATAGTTCTATCTTTGTAGGTAAACTCTAATAAAACAACAATATCTGTGTGTGTATCAGTCAAGAACTCAATAGCAGCTGGCCAGTGCCATGTCGGAGTTGGGCCATTGGTGGGTGACGATTGGCTCGGTAAGGCCGTGGGGTTTCTGGGTTCCTCCGCACCACAGAAAATGTCTGTCTGTGTATCTGTCCGTGTGGCTGTCTGTGTGTCAATCTACATGTATACCCGCTCTTTTCCCAGATACTTGCAAATTTTTTCCTTTTCAAGAACCTATCCAATTCCCTTTTGAATAGTTTCCTCCAGTCTGAAAAACCTCTACCCCCTGCTTTCTGTCTGCCAGCCAATTTCGTATCCATACTGACATTGTCCCTTTTATCCCATGGGCTTCAATTTTGCTAACTTGTGTATTATGTGTCACCTTATCAAACTCCTTTTGAAAATCCATATACACTACATCAACTGCACCACCATCATCAATCCTCTTCATTATTTAATTGAAGAACTCAATTTGTCAGACACAATTTGCCTTTTAAAAATCTGGTTGACTGTTGACTGTTATTAATTAACTTATGTTTTTCCAAGTGAAAATGAAATTTGTCCAAGATTATGGTCTCTAGAAGTTTCCCCAGTATTGACATTAGGCTGACTGGCCTGTAGTTACCAGGTTTATACCTCTCCCCTTTTTATGAACAGGAATGTAACATGTTACATTTGCAACCCTCCAGTCCTCATGCACTACCCCCATATCCAAGGAGGACTGAAAGATTGTGGCCAGAGCCTCCACTCTTTCCACCCTAACTTCCCTCAGCAACCAAGGATGAAACCCATCCAAACCGACTTTTCTACTTTGAGCGCTGCTGACCTTCTAAGCACTTTCTCTCGATCTATTTTTATCCTATGTGGAGTTCTGCAGCTCAGTAGTTAGAACACTCGCTTTGCAAGTGAGAGACCTGAGTTCAATTCCAGGCAGAGGGTGAAACCTTGGGCAAGTTTCCTTACTCCACACAGAGCCTAATAATAATCCCTCCAAAACCAAAACAATAATAAATTGGTCATTTTCAATCCACGACTGTTTGTGGGACATTGCTGTGCGCAATTGGCTGCCGCGTTCGCCCACAGATATACAGTCAATTCACTTTACAGTCTATTCTGTGAAGCGCTTTGGGACGTCCTCCCGACATGAAAAGCGCTATATCAAATGCAAGGATTATTATTATTATCCAAGTTCTCTACCTTTACTGTAACATTGGCAGCATCCTCTTTTGTGAAGACAGATGCTTAAAGTACTTCGAGTGCTTAAAGTAGCAATACTAGCCTCAGTGTATATGGGTTAGATGAACAACTCTCAAGATCAAATAACTTGGCTTAATTTCTAGTGAACAACAAAATTGCATATTTTGAAAGTGCCTTTCGCGTCAGGAGAACGTCCAAGACACTGGACAATCAGTGTTTCGGACCTGAGCTGGAGGGGGGGGCGATGGAAGAGGAGGGTGACCGAAGCTAGCCGAAGGGGAGGGTCTTGAGACAGGTCTTGAGGAAGGCAAAGTAGGGGGCGAGGCACAGGGACTGCGGCAGGTTGGAAGGGAGTTAGGAGGTTTCAGAGGTAGTGGTAGCAAGGCCATGTAGGGCTTTGAAAGTGAGGACCAGGATACTGAACTGTATCTTCTACGTGATGGGAAGCCAGTGGAGTCGGGCGAGGATGGGGGTGATAGGGTCACAGAGCCTGGTGCAGGAGAGGGCCCGGGCTGCAGAGTTCTGGATGATATGCAACCTACGTAGAGAGGAATTAGAGAGGCCGACAAGCAGGAAGTTTGGGTAGTCGAGCCTGGATGTTATGAATGCATATATGGGGGAAGGCAGAGCGGGTCATGGCACAAATGTGGGGTAGAAAGGGCAGTTGAGGGTCAAACAAGATGCCAAGATGCTAAACCGTCTCAGTGAATAGGGGAGGTAAGAAGAGGGGTAGGGACGGAGTCAAGGGAGCAAGTGGTCCATTTTATGTGGGTTATAGTGGTAGTGAGAGAGGAGGGGAGAGAGGTTCAAAGGTGTGATCATGTCATGACCCAACTGTGCAGCGCCTTGGGACGTCCTCCTGACGTGAAAGGCGCTTTATAAATGGAATCTTGTTGTTGTTGTTGTTGTGTGCAGAGAAGGATGAATAGGGGCCAGGATGTGAGGGGGAGATGGGGAGGGGGTAGTGGTTGGAAGGGCAGAGGCAGCTGAGTGGATTCTCTCGACTTTGGTCTCGAGGAAATCTAGCATCTCCTAGTTGGTGTTGGAGGAAAGTATGGGGGAGGCGTGAGCGGGTGAGCAGAGGAGCCAGTTGGTGATGAAGGCAAGCATTAATGACATTCTGATGCTGTGGGAATTGAAGCCATTTTAATCTGTAGACTGAATGGGTGCTAATTGCATTGGCTCAGTCCCTCATGATTCATTCAAGATGTACAAGGCTTAAGACCTTCCAACAATCTTTTTTTAGTGCTGATCATACAACGAGCCCTTTAGTAACACACAAAAAACAGTTTTTGATGCATTAACTCTAAAATCAGATTTTATTCCAGTAACAAAGTGGAATAAAATCAAGCTCCTTTCGTTACAGGCAATTTAAACACATCACAAAACATTTGAACCACAATGAGAATTAAAAAGCGCCATGAAAAGAATCGTGTCTGGACTTTGTAATCAACTACACAAAGGGGCCCACATCATACGTATCAAAAGAAGCTTGTAACTGTAAATGTGCTGGGCAGGTGCACCTCACATTCTGGCTTCAAGGCCCCACCACAATATTGCAAACCATTCTGGGACACTTATTCAATTTACTTGATCCTTGTAACAAGATATGCCAGTGAGATTCACAATGTGTTTGTACCTGCTACTAAACCATGGACTCAATGATATAAGAACTGATCCAACAGATTCCAGTAAGTCGCTCATATTCTGTAAAGCTTTTCTCGCAGGCAAAGTAGCATCAGAAACTTTCCTTTAGGCATTAACCTTTTTGGTTGGCTAACAAAATAATCATAGAAATCAACAAAATCACAGATTTATGCCATCAATTAAGAAATATTCATTTACCCTGCTTTACGGTAATAAAGGTGGCTATCATCATTTCAAATCATATTAAGCCACCTGCAAATTCTGGACAGAATAGGAGCATTCAGTTCCAGCTGTATATGGTCACATCTTCAACTGGGTCAATAAGAACTAACTAACTAGCTAACTAACTACAACAAAATTACATTTATAGAGTGCCTTTCACGTCGGGAGAATGTCCCAAGCTAACTAGCTAGCTAACTAACTAACTAGCTAACTAACAGCAATTACACACATAGAATCATACAATTATAGAATCATATAGTACAGGAGGCCATTCGGACCATCATGTCTGTAACCAGCTCTTTTAAAAGAGCTATCCAAATCAATCCCACTCCCCCGATCTCTCCCCATAATCCTGCAAACTTGCCCTCCCCAAATAATTATCTACTTCCCTCTTAAAAGTTGTTATCAAATCA